CAATCCAAAACAGTCCAGTGGAGGCTGAGCGGTGGGTGTTGCCTTCTGACACACTTCCGGTGATGTCAGGGGGTGTGGCATATGCAAATAAGTTATGCTAATGAGTTATGCTAATGAGCTCCTGCTCGTCTTTTTCTATGAAATGACCCCTGGTTCTACATGCCTGGGCAGTGGCAGCAACATAGCTATGGAGGGACAGAGGAGCCAGAGCATCTACGCTTGCGCCCGAGTCACAGGGCACGCCTTTAACAGGATGGGGTGCTTCTGGTGTGACCAGGAAGCTTTGTGCTCCATTGTGGCTAAGGAGGAGGAGGAGGAGGAAATTGGATTTATACCCCGCACTTCACTCAGAGTCTCAGAGCGGTTTATCGCCCAATTCCCCCCCGCAGTTTCGTGATCCTGGGGCTGTATTGGGGCCTTGGGGCTGAGAGAGCTCTGACAAGAAACGGCTCTTTTTCAAGAACAGCTCTGACAGAAGTGTGGCTTGCCCAAGGTCATCCAGCAGCTGCAAGTGGGGAATTAAACCCAGTTCTCCCAGATAAGAGTCTGCGCTCCTAACCACTAAACTAAACTGGCTCTACTTCAAGGAGTCTCAAAGCGGTTTACAAATTCCTTTCCCTCCCCCTCCCCACAACAGACACCCCGTGAGGCAGGTGGGGCTGAGAGAGCTCTTGACAGAACTGCCCTTGAGAGAACAGCTCTGACAGAAGTGTGGCTTGCCCAAGGTCATCCAGCAGCTGCAAGTGGGGAATCAAACCCGGTTCTCCCAGATAAGAGTCTGCGCTCCTAACCACTACACCTAAACTGGCTCTACTTCAAGGAGTCTCAAAGCGGTTTGCAAAGGCCTTCCCCTTCCCCTCCCCACAACAGACACATCCTGTGAGGTAGGTGGGGCCGAGAGAGCTCTGACAGAAACGGCTCTTGATAGAACTACGGCTTGCCCAAGGTCATCCAGCAGCTGCAGGTGGAGGAGTGGGGAATCAAACCCGGTTCTCCCAGATCAGAGTTCCCGCACTTAACCACCACACCAAACTGGTGTAGAGAGAGGAGGGACCTCAGCGGGGTATAATGCCATAGAATCCACCCAGCAAAGCAGATATGTTTTTCCAAGGAAACTGATGTCTTCTGTTATCTGTTGATCCCCGGGAAGTTGGCATCCCAAAAATTCAGGCCAGGTTTCTCCAGTGAAGCATCTTCTTTTGCTCTTCCTTACATATTGCTCAGCTCCCTGCACTGCGGGCCTGCTGCTTTTTTCCCTCTTAAGCCTCAAAGCACGCCAGACAAGCTTTTCCCGCCTGGCCAAAATAATAATCCGAATTAAAAGCAGATCCGGTTTCGCTGAAGTTTCGCCGCAGCTCCAGTTCAGCGCGCCCCCTAACGTCCACGCAGGGTAAAAGCAACAAGCGTCCTCGCTTTGCTGCGGGAGGTGGGCGTGGGAGGAACAGGAGCGAAGACGCATGCGCACAGATAGGAACGCCGTCCAAAGCAGGAGGCAAACTCACGGATTTGCGCATGCTCAGTGAGTGACGAAGCTGTGTCGGGGTATGGAGGACTCATCGCTCGGAACCATAGAGGTAGAACAGTAGATCGACACGCAGATCGGAAGCCACCATTGGTTTCCGGGGGAGGGGGCGCAGCCTGGGAGCATCTTTATGATGGAAGACGCGACGTGCGTGCTTCGTAATCGGGAAATACCGGACGGTTATGGGACCGGAAATGGCGCGTGGCGAAGGAGGCCCCAAAACAGATCCGCCCAGAAGGGAGGGGGCGCGCCTGAGGCAAAAGACGACGTAACTCCAAAGACGTGTCCGAAGCAACCAATCAGCGCGTAGCCTCGTTGCCCGGTGGCCAATGACGTAAAAGCGCGCCAGGACTCGAAATAGGGGAATCTTCCCTCCTTCCCGGTCTTGTTATTGGGGGGCTGAAGCGGCTGGCGAGGCGCGGGTTCGAGTCCCGATCTGACCCAAATTAGTTCGGGGGGGAGGAAATTGCGCGGCGTTCCTCGGAGGGAAGCCGGTAGGTTGGGAACGGCGCTTTGCGCGGTCACCGGGCGGGTCAGACGAAATCCAGTGGGTGGCGGCCCTGGCTGCCAACCTCCAGGTGTGGCCGGGAGATCTCCCGGGGAGAAAAGCTGACCTCCAGGCGGCTGGGGTCGGTTCCCCTGGAGGAAATGGCTGCTTTGGAGGGGGGGAGACTCTGGCATTAGAGACCGCTCTGTGGCCCCCTCCTCACTCAGTAGTGCGTTGTCAAATCTGGGTTGGGAAATACCTGGAGTAGGGTTGCCAGCCTCCAGGTGGTGCCGGGAGATCTCCCGGGGTGACAGCTGAGCTCCAGGCGGCTGGGGTCGGTTCCCCTGGAGGAAATGGCTGCTCTGAAAGGGCGGACTCTGTGGCATTGGACCACGCGGAGGCCCCTCCCCCAAGCCCCGCCCTCTCCAGGCTCCGCCCCCCCAAAGTCTCCAGGTATTTCCCAACCCAGACTTGGCAACCTTAACCTGGAGATTTGGGGGCTGCAGCCCGGGGCGGGGAGGGACCTCAGCCAGGTTAGGAGGCCATGGAGCCCACCCTGCAAAGCAGCCCTTTCCCCCAGAGGAATTGACCTCTGTCCCCTAAAATAGAAAAATGGCAACGGAAAATTTTGGGGAGTTTGTGGATAAAATTTGTGCATGATCCATTTTTTTGTTGCATCTCTTAATTCCGCAGACAAGGAGTCGTTTGAGGAAGTCTGGTCTCCTGTAGCGGATTATTTGAGTGTAAGTAATTTTTTTTTACCCAGAAATAATGAATATAGATTGTGGCTTATGCTGTAAAATTTTGACTGTCAACCTTATTTTGGTCCTAAAGTTGGTTATACCGCTGGTATTAGACTAGCTATATTTATATTGTGTTGGGTTGTACCTGTAATATGTTTCATGTGTTCCTTCTTGCTTGACTATGTTTTAGGAAGTTTAGTTGGTTGTTGGTAGCGTTTTTGAGAGTACATATTTTAGTATTTTGTATTGGGCTATGCAGGGGTCATTTCGCAGAAAAAGAGGTGCAGGAGCTCATTAGCATGACTCATTAGCATGACTTATTTGCATATGCCACACCCCCTGACATCACGGGAAGTGTGTCAGAAGGCAACACCCACCACTCAGGCTCCACTGGACTGTTTTGGATTGCTAGGTATTGGGGGGGGGGGAGAGCAGATCTGCCCTTGCAGAGGAGGGAGAGCTTGTACCTGAATAAAACTTGGTCTTAAAGGTGCCACTGGACTCTTTTGGGCCAGTGCTCTTTACTACCAGAGCTCCGCTCCTGTGCGCTCCTGCAGGAAATGACCCCTGGTGCTATGAAATACTCTTGTCAATAAAAAAAAAAACAACCAGCTGAAGTTCTGGGAGATATC